GCCCTGGCTTCCTGGGGCACCCCAGGCCCATCTCTGACCCCCTTGTTTCCCTCCCCATCCTAGGGACGGGCCCTCCAGTGCGGCTCCTGCAGGTGCCCCTCATCCCTGCACCTCACAGCTCTCTCCACGCCCAGCCCCCGCAGACAGGCTCACCACACATCCTTGGGCCACAGAGTAGATTAAGATGACTACAAAGATACACAAGACGGTGCGGATCTGGATCGTCAGGCATCCTGGAAAACACTGAAAGATAAAATACTATTGAAAACACAACCTGTTTTACAAAGTCGTTTGTGGCCACAGCAGATAATTCACAGTACAGAACGTCCAGAACCACTTGAATGCAGCCAGATCCTTTCCCATAATTCATCCTCCACATACGTTTCCTGGCTGTTTTCATGTAATTAACTTCCCAGGTGAAAAAGTTGCCAAAATTAAAAAACTGAAAGGTGACATCTTTAAATTCAAAAGAGCAACACTTCCCACCATCTGCTCCGCCCTGTGACACTGACTGGCACTGACATTCACTGAATAGATTAACTTGACATTTTTATAATACTGCATCCTTCTATCTCAGAGATGTTAAGAATTTCCCTTTATTTGTTTCTTCTCTTAGATGCTTTATCATTTTCTTCACATAGGCTTTATACAATTTCGTTAAGTTATTAGAAACTTTATTTTAAGCCTATTTAAACACATTTTTATAATATTTGACAAACGATTTCAAGGATAGTCAGAAGATCTTAGAATCACACTTCTGAAACTAGAAATGAAAACAAAAATAGAGACCCTGGGACCTTGCAGAAAGCACGAACCAGCGAGGGTGCCCTGGGCCGTGCGTGTGTTACCCCTCTAACCCTCCCACCCCGTGAAGTCGGGTTCATTACGATCCCTGCTCTATAGGTGAGGAACCGGGGCCCGGACACCACCAGCCAACCTCACTCGCTCTACAGACCAGGACACAGAGCGGGTTGCTCAGCTCACGTTGAGCTGAGACACATCCACACACAGACCAAACAATAGCACGAGAACTAATTTGTCATAACACCAAAAAAAGACAGCTGATCCGACATGAACAATGGAAAATGCCCCTAGAATGGGACCCACGATTAGTCAAAGGCAGCCCAGTGGGGTGTTAGCTGTTGGACCATCCTCAAAGCTCGCTGTCACTGTCTCAGAAAGTGACCGTGTAGCAATGGCCAGGCTGGGCATCCCGGACCCTATGGCCAGAGGCAGTTCACAGTCGGAGCTGAATTTCACAAAGGGCCCCAACAGCGGGACGAGGCCACAAGGCAGGAGGATGCAGGGCAAATGTGGAGCGAGAGCCTGTGCTCTGCAGGGAGAGAAGCCGTGGAGCGTGCCGTGACCAGGACACGACACAGGAGCACTGCAGCTGCACCAAATGGTCGTGGGAGGCAGGGTGGCCGCTGAGTGATGACCCCACCGTGCCTCAGCTCTGTGGCTGCGGAGTTTAAACAGTGTAGGCAAAGGGCACAACTACACAGCCACATCCTTCTCCACTCAGCCAGCCGTGCTCCTGGCTCATTCTCAGGGCTCCTGCCGTGTGTTACGGGCCAGGAGGAGGCGCGGCCCGGCTCCCTGGACCACGTACTCCCACTGCGGGGGGAGGGGGGCATTCAAAGGCTTCCAACCAGGCGACAAACTAAGAACCATGTTGTAAATCACAGTCGCACAGACACACACAACTCAGAGTTTCAGGAAACCCTGATGACAATCGATACAGTGACATTTTCATTCATTCTTGTTCTGTTTCTTTTGTTTACAACTCACACACATACACACAAAAGATTTCACAGCCCCCAGTGAGTCGCAATCTGAAGTTTAAAAAATACTGACAATCTATGCTAAATAAACGAACTCAGTCCCACACAGATACGCTGCGGGAGCCACTGGGGCTGCGGCAGAAAATGATGTAACACGAGGACCAGGACTGGGCATTTGCAGGGGCTGGCAGGAGCTCTTGGGTTTGTCTCTGGGGTCCCTGCCCTCTGCTTGGGCTCCCTCTCTCTTCCCAAAGAGGGAAAACCTAGAGGTTTTCTAACTTTCTACTCACTGTCCATTCATCAACCATGTCTAGTTTATCTCACCAGAGCTGCAAACCTCCTCCTTGCCTTCCCCACCCACTGCAGGGCTCTCAGGGTCTAGGGTGGGCTGGGCTGGGCTGGGGGTGCTCTTCCTCCCTGGAGGCCAGCCCTCCCACGGCAGCAGGTGTAATAGAAAAGAACAAATTTAACTTCATATTAGATCTGTTTCTTTTGCTTTAACCCTGTACCCTGTTTTCTAGGCTGAGTCTTGCCAGCTCTGCACCTTTTGTAAAACAATGCTGCCTTTAGCCTGAAATAGACAGGAGAGCCTATTCTCTGAGCTGTGACCTTTAAGGATATTAACACTTTTGTACTTACATAGAGATGACAAGTTGCAGAATAGAAAATAACATTTGTTTTGTTAGAGGTTTTACAGGGACACCATGACCTGACCCACGTGTACAGCTGCAAGAACAAAGAATTCGAAGAACAGAACTCCTGCACCAAGAAATCTGCAACAACCAACCACACCCCCTCTCTCCTTTTTAGTGTAGAAGGAGCCTGCATTGTGACTTGGAGAAGATGGATCTCCAGGGCATTAGTTTTCCATCTTCTCAAGTCAGCCGGTTTTCTGAATATAGTCACTGCTCCTTGCCCCAACACCTGGTCTCCCGATTTACTGGCCTGTCATGTGGCGAGCAGAACGAGTTTGGTCTTGGTAACAGAGAGCGGAGGAAGCCCATGTGAGGACTCTCACCTCCTGAGGGAGCCCCTCTGCCTGTGCTCAGAAGACCACAAAGGGGTGACTGGGACAGTGGATGGAAAAAAGAAGCTGAAATATGACCATCAGCACCACGCCTGGGTGAGAAAGATGAGGGGGGTTGCTGTCTAAGGCACAATGGCCTCCTTCCAGGTCACATCACCCTCGTGTCCCCAGGAAGCAGAGAGGCCTGGAGCCCCAGAGAGCAAAGTGCACCTGAACCTGCAGGTGCCCAGTGACCGGTCCAGTGTGCACCCCTCTGGCGCCCTCCTCACTGCTCCTCCTCCCCCCGCCCCACCTGCTCAGCCCTGGTCCCACCACAACCCCACCCAGGGCCAGCACCACTGCAGGAACGCCCTCGGCAGGCCGCACAGCCTCAGCTGGGTCCGCACGCCTGGTCGGTCCAGCTCTGCCCCTTTCCAGCCCTCACCGTGACTCTCCAGCCACCTGCTCTCCCGCCTTCCACCCTGAGCCCTGTAGAGCGCCTCCTCTGGTCACGGCATCCTGGCCTCCAGGACGGACAGGGATCCCGCCCCTTTGTTTCACCAGCTTCTCCTCCTGTTCTAAGAATGTTCAGTTGCGCCTATGGCGTCCCAGGCCCTGCTCCCAGGACTTCGCGAACATCAGCTCCAATTCCCATCCCTTTGACAGACAAAGACACGAAGGCCATAGAGCTGGCAGCCCCTAGTGACGAGGGAGCCAGTGGGGTGGGTGAAGGGCCCAGGTGGTCCCAGAGCTGCCACACCGGCCCTGATGCCCTGGCTGTGGCCACTTCCATATCATGGAGGAAAGCCCTCTGCTGACCCCCAGGCCTTCTTGGGGATGTGTGGCTGCAATGGGCCCCAACTCAGCCGCGTGCACAGCTGTGCCCACTGGCATCTCCCTTCCTCGGTACGCGCTGGGCCTCTGCTGGACAGTTCTGACCCACCTGCCAGCCCCCATCCTCCCCAGCCAGATCCTGCCGACCATGCCCCCCGTCTCCTGGCCCCAGTCTTCTGCACAAGCCCCGTGGTGAACTCAGAGCCCTGCTGTCACATCCAGGGCCTCAGGAGGGAGTGTGTGAGCACGTGGGTCACCGCTGAACAGGCACACGCCGGCCGGGTGAACTGAAGCCGCCTGCCATCAGGACCGTGCGCTCCACCGGAGCTGCTTCCTGACCCGCAGCCGGGAGGGGGACCTGCTGCCGCGCTGGGTCAAAAATCACACTTAGAAAAAAATGCTCAGGCCGACGAAGGAGGGCGAGGAGGGGTGAGCGGACATTCAGAAAGAAAGGGGCTGGCGGAGCCGGGGCCCCCTCCACCAGGAGAGCTGTTTGTCCACCAGGCACACAGGTCCCCAACACTGGGGACGAGTGTGACAGGACTTAGAAACCAGCATCTATTTGCGATGCTTTCACTTGAAATTAGGTGAATAAAGCCATCTTATGTGAAGTGGGAAGTTTCACTTGACCCAATCAGATGCCACTCCATCTATGAAATCAAAGAGCTAGGATTGTGGCTATTTATTCAAGTAGCATTTTTTTTTGTCTCAACCTAAATCAAGAAGGTACCCATGAATAATAAAGAATTTAAATAAATACACCTAGATTCAATCTTCTCACAAAGTAGTTGTTTTCAACAATTGTACAAAGATAACCCAGGGTCTCTCAAACATGACAGCTGGGGGTCTAGGGGGGAAATGGGACTTTGGAAAAAGAAGATTCAGAACAGAGCCCTCTCCTGGGAGCCTCGGGCGGCACGGGGCCACAAGCTCAACCCTGGCTCCAAAGCCAAGGAAGAATCTTCGAGAGTGTGGAGGCCCCAGTCTATGACACGATCACACGACAGGGCACAGGACCCTCCTTTGGAGAGAACAGTGTCACCCCTTGTGTTCATTTATTCAATCACCATCCACACCCACCCCTTGTGTCTAAGGGGCACGCTCCCAGAACTCCAAACAGCACCCACACAGGATGGGGCCCAGTGAGTTTCTCCCACGTGGACAAGGCTTTTCACCTGCCAGAAGGTGAGGGACAAACTGCCTCCACCTGTCCTGCCAAGAGGGCATGCAGAGGCCGTGCACTTACCTGTGCAGGTGATAGGCAGGTACAAGCACACACACGTGCATCTGGACCAGGTAACGTGCAGGTACATCACACACACACGCGTGTACCCGGATCAGGTGAGGAGCAGGTACAGGACACACCATGCACGTACCTGGACCCGGGTGATGTGCAGGTACAGGACACAGGACACCAGGAAGCAGATGCAAAACACCAGCAGGAGCAGGACGGCCACACTCCTAGGACAGATGACACACAGTCCCTGCAGGCTGGGCCAGGTGACGTGTGCCCAGAGGATGCCTGGGACCGCGCCCTTCCTCCCCTGCCCCACCCGGGTCCCAGCCCCAGGGAAGCAAGCAGTGGTCTCTGGGGAGCTGCCCGTGCTGGTCCTTTCCTAGCAGAGGAGCCCTTCCTGTGTCCCCTCTAAGTTCCCCGCCACCCCAGGGTCCCTCTAGCTCTGGGGGCGCCTGAGAGGAACTCTCCTCGTGCGGGAAGGATGAGGGCTGCACAGACTTGGCTGCTAGACACTGCCCTCTTCCTGGGCCTCATCTGGAAAGGGTTTTTCTAGAAAAAGTTGGATCCCCAGGCAGGGCCATGCAGACGGCCACTGCGTGTCCACAGTGTCTGGGGCTGGGGGTGGCTTCCATGTGTTTTCTGGAAACTCACAGGGGAATCACTCCACTCGGGAGGTTTATTAACAAAGCCGTAGGTCTGCAAGAAAAGTGGAGATTTTCTGGGGTCTTTCTTGCCCCAAACCCAAAACTGCCAAACTCACTTTCACCCATAAGGATGAAATGTTATTAAAATTATTGTATCTGTGTTCCTTTCCAGAGCCTACTTTTTCTCATTTTAAAGTTTCTGAGAATTTGTTGACAAGCACCTGGAAATCAGGGTGCCTCTTTGGTCTGTTTCCTCTCGCAGAAACTGTCATGAAGCCAATGGTCCACGTGCTGTGGACGGAGAGGGCTTAGAATTGAGAAAATTTAAAATTAAAAACTGAGAACTAGCAGCCCCGCACACCAGCCAGCAGGCTTGCACAGCCAGTTCCTCCAGGAAATGACGCGTGTCCCAGGAGGGGTGTGGACCTCGTTTGTAGAGAAAGAGGAGTGGTTCTGAGTTTTTCTGAGACTGTTCTCAACGCCCTCCAGAGGCGGGGGCACCGTGGGACTGTGACTGCGGGAGTCGAACCTGAACTTGAAAAGCAAAGGACCCTTGGTGACCTCTGACGGATGGACCCAGAACAATACTTACTGCGGGATTATCAGCAGGTAGACAAGGCCGAATAAGGCGGCCAGAATGAGGGCCAGAATGACGGCGCTGGTAAAATACTCGTCCTGAAGCTGGTGGTACTACAAGACAGAAATCCCCCGTCAGTGGCCTTGGCTTCCCGGAGACGCCAGGGTCTCCCCAAAGGTGCCGGGGATGCCCAGAACCACTGCAGCGTTGAGAAGGGCCACACCCACGTTCACAGGATGTCCCAAGGCCCCAGCCTCCCGCCACCCCCGACTGCCCCCACCCCGGCACCTACCTTCCTCTCTCGCTCAGCCTGCTTGTATTTCAGGGTGAAGAAGTTCAGGTCCGCCATCTCCAGCTCCATCTGCCGGGCTTCCAGGAGGCGGCCGATGTACCTGTTGACGCGTGTCCCGGGGGTGGCGTGGACCACGTTTGTAGAGAAAGAGGAGCGGTTTCTGAGCTTTTCCGAGGCTGTTCTCAGCGCCCTCCGCTGCCCATCACGGGAAGAAAGGAAGGAATGCTGTCAAACTCTCCACTTACTAAAACAGGGAGCTCTTATGTGTCCCTCCTTCTGGCTCCTCGCCCACTGCAGTCTTGGCGGGGCTGGTGTGGGGATCTGAGATGCAGGTGTGGCTCCACCACCTGCTGGCGGTGAGATCCCAGGTAAGTTATCTCATCACTGGTGTTCGGGCTCCCGTGTCTGTAAGTGGGGTTGCACGGCACCTGAGTGGTGGCTCCGTGTGGAGGGTTTCTGGGCCCCATATGTGAGCAGTGGACAGTGCCCAGTATACAGCAATGAACTTGGTTCTTTGGAAATACCGATAAAATCAGTAGGTCTCTAGCACGTAAATCTGACAGCTTAGATCAATGACCTACTCCTTGAAACACACAAACTACCACAACTCACCCAACAGGAAAGATAATTGGAATAGCCCTGTAATTGCTAAAGAAATTTAATTCATAATTTAAAAATTCATGAAAAAGTAATCTCCAGGCTGAGATGATTTCACCAGAGAATTCTACCAAACAGTTAAATAAAAATTAACAAAAATTCTATACAATAGATTCTAGAAAAGAGAAGAGGAGGTAACACTTCCCAGCTCACTTCATAAAGTCAACGTTAACCTGACACGAAAACCAGACTAAGACAGTAAAAAAAAAAAAGAAAAAAGAAAAAATTACATTTGAGGCCATATTCCTCATGAATATTGATGGAAAAAATCCTTGGCAAAACATTAGTAGATAGAATTTAGCAATAAATAAATAGAGGTATGCAGCATGACCATTTCAAGATACGCAAGGCTGTTTAAATATCTGAACATCAATGCAATCCATTATTATTAATAAAACCGTATTAACCACCGCATGGAAAACCCCATGGTCATACTGATCGATAAAGAAAAAGCCTCGGACAAAATTCAATATCCATTCATGATATACATGCTCAGAAAACTAGGAATGGAGGGGAACTTGCCACAACTTGATGAAGAGCGTCTACAGAACACCTACAGCTAACATCACACTCAATGGTAAAAGACTGAATGCTGTCCCTCTACAATCTGCAGAGTCAGAGATGTCTGTCTCACGCTCCTATTTGATATAGCGCTAGAACCCCCTGACCAGTGTGATAAGGGAAGAAAAGGAAATAAAAGGCAGGTAGATCAGAAAGAAAGCAAGAAAGCTGTCCCTATTTGCAGATGATATGATAGCCTACAAAGAAAATCCTGATGGAAGAAAAGATCCTGGAACGAATAGTGAGTTCCACGGGGTCACAGGATACAAGATAAACATTAAAAAAATCAATCATATTTCTTCATACTAGCTATGAGCACGTGAAGACCAAAATTAAGATACAGTAACATTGACAATCACTGAGAAAGTGGAATACTAGTAAATCTAACAAAACACCTACAGAACTGCAGGCTGAAAACTACAGAGCGCCAGTGAAAGAAAGCCAAGCAGACCACACTAAATGCACAGACATTCCATCAGGGATCAGAAGACTCAACATAGTGAAGATGTCAATTCTCTCCACGTAGATGGACACAAGTTTAACATAATTCCCTTCAAATCCTAGCAGGACTTTTTTTTTTGGTAGAAATGCAAGTTTATTCTAAATATGAAATGGAATGGCAAAGGGACTAGAATAGCTCCTTTTTCTTAAAAAGAATCAAGTGAGAGGAATCACTCTGACAGTGACTTACTATCTAAATACATCAACCCAGACAACGCGGTGTTGGCAGAGAGACAGACACACAGATCAAGGGAACAGAACACAGAGCCCAGAAACAGCCTCACACAAGTGTGGGCAACTGATTTTTTGTTGTTGGTGGTGGTTTTTTGGTTTTTTGAGGGGGAGGTATTAAGCTTTATTTATTTCTTTGTATTTAGAGGAGGTGCTGGGGATTGAACCCAGGACCTCGTGCACGCTAAGCACGCGCTCCACCACGTGAGCTATCCCCTCCTCTGCAATGGGCAACTGATTTCTGACAAAGTGCAAAAGCAATTCGATGGAAGAAGCTTGGCTTTTCAACAAACAGTGCTGGGGCCTCTGCAGAGCCATTAGCAAAAACAAATAAATAAACCTTGACCCAAACCTCACACTTTATTTTAAAGAACTCACTCAGAATGGATCATAGGCGTAACTATCAAATACGAAAATAGAAAATCCAATTAGAAAGCAGACAAAGGATACAAGAGGCATTTCACCGAAGAGGGGAACATACGGATAGAAAATAAACGCTTGAAGAGATGTGCGACATCATTAGCCATCAGGGAAATATAAAATAAAATCACAAAGAGATATCCCCACACATTTATTACAACAGTAATGTTTGGGGGAAAAAAAGGAGTGACGGGACCAAGTGCTGGCAAGGAAGCAGAGAAAACTGGATCACGCATACACTGCTGATGGGAAGGTGAAATGGGACGGTCGGTCCGGAAAACAGTTTGGCTGTTCCCTATAAAAGAGAGAAGAAGTGGGGAGGCTATAGTTGTAGAGCACATGCTTAGGATGCACAAGGTCCTGGGTTCAATCCCCAGCACTTCCAGTAAATCAATCAATCAATCAGTCAATCAATAAACCGTTACCACCCCTCAAAAAACAAAAGAAAAAAACACGACCCATTAATGACACACCTGAGCATCAATCTGAGAAAATGAAAATTTATGTCTACATAAAAATCTGTACCTGCATGTTTATAGTAGTTGCATATGTAATATACAAATTGGAAGCAACCTAAATGTCCTTCAGCAGGTGAGTGGCTGAACAAAGGTGAGCCATCCCAGCCACGCCGTGCCAGCCAGCCACGGAAAGGAAGGCGCTACCCATCCCAACAATAACCAGGAAGGACACAGGGGCATGGAGCAGAGTGACGAAATGGCCAAGTTCCCAAGGTCACACACTGTGTGATTCCATTTACACCAAATTCTCAAGTGACAAAGTTACAGGCAGGGAGAACCAGGGTTAAGGATGGCTGTGGGGAGGGAGGTGGTGTGACCCTGAGCAGGAAGAGACCTTGGTGGTGATGGAAATGTTCTGTATGTAATGTCACGTGTGGATGGTTACACGAATCCACCATGTGATGAGGTGGCACAGGACTACACACTCGGTGCTCCGATGTCCGTTTCCTAGTCTGGGTGTCACACTAGTTTTAAGATGCAACAGAAACCCCGTGGGAAACTGTGCAGAGGGTACAGGCTGCTTGATTCCACAGCTCACACGCGTGCAATCAGCAGTCTATCAATTCTATTGATAGCTGTAAAAATATTAAATAAGTAAAAATATTAAATAAGTAAATAAACAAAACCTAAGTCACTCCCAATCTCTGCTTGGAAATAAATCATCAGTCTTTTGCAGTACATCCCTCCAAATTTTTCCCTAAGCAGGTACCAGCCTGGGAATGTGTTATTTTCCAATCAGAGGCTCGCACTTCCAATTCCAGATGTGCTCTGGCCTCCCTTGGTCCTGAAACCAAGCACGGAAAAGACTGCAAGCGGGAGAGAAAGAAACTGTGAAGTCTGCCTTGAGTTAATGGGCAAGTGGCTTGTGCTCCTGTGAATTCTTTCTCCCTCTAGGATCTGACACATTTGTAAATATCAAGGAAAAAAAAAAGTTGATGTTGTGTCTGTGAGACCGGGAGCTGGCTCTCCTGTGGAGAGGGCCCAGGAGGCTGCCTTTAGGCAGGTATCACAGTCATCAGATTTCAGGGGTTTGTGCTTAGTTACTTTGTGTGGGCAGGGCTGACATCTGGGGGGCAGATGTCACCCTCGGCCCTCAGGGCGGCTGAACAGTGGGATGGGAACTCCATCAGTGGAGAATGTTAACCATGGCCAGCTCCTGGCATCTGGCATCGTAATTACAGATTTTCCCCTTTGTCATGCTTTGCTCTTCTTTCCCACAACAAACATATACTTCCTTTAAAAACAAATCCAAATCAAGTCAAGGGAAAATATTGCTAATTTTGAAGTGATACTTGGCTTTCTGAGTGTCTTTCTTGACCCACCAAAGGGAAGGAAACCGCAGGGATGCAAGAACCAGGGGCTGTGCAACCTGAAGTGAGCTGCTTAACCTCTCTGTGCTCCACTTTCCTAGTTAGCGCTCATGAGGATCCAGAATGTTCATACTCCAGGGAAAGACATCTGGCCCAGAGGGAGTCCTCCAGCTGGTCATCACTGTTCTGAAGCAGATAAG